TCAAACAAAACCAATCATGACCTGCTTCCTGCTTTCATTGGCTACACAAAATTTCTCCCTTGGCCGTATCATGTTAGGCATATTCACACTATGCCGCATGGCTCTTGCGTCAGCACGAAAACCATACCGAATAGACATTGTGTTCACACACAAGAAAGGTGATTGCGGCGCGATTTCTCTAACGGAGCGAAGCTGCACCGCGCCGATATAAAAAATGGAGCCTCACATATCGGATAAGTTCTGTGCCACACTTTGGTGCAACGTGAACAGGTATTCGCACTGTAGCGGAAGTGAATAAGTAGGAGCGAGGAGGACTGGTATATATTACCCACGGAGACGGAAGTAAATTTTCAGGAGTGATGACTGGGATTTAGTTCACCAGACCCTCTCAGCCAACCGCTCGGGCACGATGTTCAAATGAATGTATATAAAAGACTTGTTCCAGTTCTGTGCCGCTGCTGTTTATACTATACTATACCGGATTTCGGTGATCTGCTTCCTGACATTAGCTTCTGGAAGAGGACCGCACTTGGTTGGGCTGCCTTTGGTAAAGTGGGTAACATCATGAGAGGCCGCAATTGAAGCAGGAACATAAAGAGGAACATACACGACGAGTACATTCTACCAGTAATGACATATGGCTGCGAGACATGGGCGCTGAACAACGCTATGATGGAAAAGCTTGCGATCGCACAGCGCAAGATGGAACGCATAATGCCAGGCATTACCCTTCGAGATCGAAATCGAAAAACCTGGACCCGAAGAGAAACAAGCGTAAGCGATATCACCAACACTATCAGGAAAGCAAAGCATAGATGGGCAGGTCACATCGCACTGCTATCTGATAACCGTTGGACCATCACAGCAACAGAGTGAACCCCAAGATTTTGGACCAGAAAACAGGGTAGTCCGAAAACAAGGTGAAGAGACGATCTCACCAGACAGTTTGGACCCGTATGGTGAAGATTAGCCAAGCACAGACACCTGTGGGATCAATCCAAGGAGGGGTTCCTCTGCCAAGAGTGAATACAAACCCTGATGATGATGATGATGATGATGATGATGATGATGATGATGATGATGATGATGATGATGACGATAATGATGATACCGGATAGCATTTCGTGTCGACACAAAAACCTAACCGGTATAAAATGAAAACAGCCTTTGTGTCAAGGGGATTTTCTGATTTTCTTGGTTAAAAATATGGTACGATTGCCTTACAGTAGCGTTCTGGTACATGAACTGACTAGTTTCCAAGCATAAGAAGATTCAACAGGGCCCTTGCTACTTTGAAAGAACAAACTCTAAGAGTTTTTGAGGGAACAAATATCAAAATTCCAAAATTTTTCACCTAATGAAAAATTCAACAGCTTATTAAATATTTAACCAATACAATTCAATTTCATCGGCTCTCCAGATACAGGAAGAAATAAATATTTCTTTTTTTCGCATTGCTGAATAAAATTTTGAAGTCTTAATAAACTGAGAAAACACTTGCCTTAATTTACGTTTTTGAATAAAATTTAAAAGAATGGCATTTGAATGGGAAAAATCTTAAAGACAATTTTCTGTAGCTAAGTTTTAGGCCACGACCACACGAATCCGGACATTTTAGAAACCGTATATATTATTTACACGGGTTCGTGTTGACGGAGCCTTAGATATCACTCTGTAGAGCCGTTTCAAAAAGATGCAGTTTTGATGAGCGGATTCACTAGCCAGAGATAAGCAACAACGACGGCACAGTTACGAAAACGTCACCTATAAAGCGAATTCGCGCTGCCTCAAACTTTATCACTATTATTCCATCTCCTTTAATTCGTCAACTGCGGGCAAATTTTTTGGAGTTGATTCTAAAGGAATGTCACGTCAAAGTTCAGGAAAAGAAAAAGAAAGTTGCTGTCATGTGTTCCCGTCCTCGACAAAACGAGAAATTCGCATGACTTTCACGTTGTAGTCGTGCAACAACGGCTAAGAAATGTACAAAAAAGCGTGATGCACGTGCAAAGTTGTTGTTTTGCTTTTATAAACCTATTGCTTTTTTGCTGTCCTCGTTGCCGTCGCAGTCGTCGTTGCTGAAGCCCCCTGACTGGTTTCGTGTGGACGGAAAGTCGATTCGTATACGGGAACCGAGTTTTTTTTCCGACAGCACACCAGGAAAATATACTTGTTGCGAACGGGATTATGGGTTACCGTTCATGGAAGCGGCAAGCGGAAAATCATTAGCTGTAGCTCTAGTGAGTTCACCTTGAAGATAAAAAGCATCTTCACAGTTTCTTGCAAACACCACAACACAAGCCTTGTGATGGAATTCTACCGATCGCTCTCCATCCGCTAAGAGAATTACTCTTCCCTTCGCTTGACGATTAAGACGGTCAATGGCTTCGAGTAGAAGTTTGATGTTTGTGGACAAAACGTTGGTGACGTACGAGATAGGATAGCCCAGCGCCGCCATATGAGGAGCGATCAACAAAAGATTTGTCGAGGACGAAATTTTAAGATTCACATCAATAACAAAACAACCTTCACCGTTGACTAACATTTCGACACCCGTGAATCCAAAATAGCCGTTCCGATGAAGGTATTGCGTGACGGGTGACACCACGTCATGCAACTGTTCTTTAAGCTCCGCCTGCTCGTTCCAATTTACGTCGGGCTTTGGGACGAAACCCGAAGGTCGCTTGGCAAACGGCATGTTTGACTTACATTTCACTCCCAGCCAGTGGACTTGTCCATCTTGAAACAAATACAATTGAACGATTAAACACTTGGAGATATTCTCTATTACCTCCGTCACGACAAGTTCCGCATCACAGAAGTGCCTATTGAGCTCGTCAAAAGCTTTTTTTGCTTCGTTCTCTGTTCTCACAAGAAACGTTCCACGCTTTGCTTTTCCTTGAGTTGCTTTTATCATACAAGGGAGGGTGTAGTTATCACGTGACATGTATCGGGGGCACGGTGCTCCCATTTCAGGGATTCGCGCCTTGGAGCTGAGCTTGTAGTGAATGTCGGGATGGACGGCATGCTTTTTGGCGGGAAAGCTTTGAAACGGAAAGTTCACAATTAAAGGTTTGTCCCCAGTGTCTTCTTGGTTGAAAATTCTTATGTCGGGCGTAGGAAAAAACGGAAGCCACTTTGACCAATGCTAGAAAAAGAAAAAACAGAAAGAGATAAAGATAACAGACTTACAGGGAAGTACCTTTCCCAGTCCCAGAAGGCGACCTTGTCCCCTCGCCCCCTCCCCCATCGTTTTCTGTTTCGACCTGTCTTCAGCATTCGCGCCGCTCTAAATCTTACTTTGGGAACCACAAAAGAAAAAATACACTCAAATCAAAAACCTGCCAGCTACGCAGACTTAACGTCCACAAAAGACTTCACCTCCAGTCCGCCATGTTGGTGTTCCAAAATAATAAAACGGACACCAATTCAAGATGGCGAATGAAACATCATGTAAAAATAGACCTTGTCACGGTTTTCGACGCCATCTTGACGAGTAGGCAAACATGTGAGAAATTATAGTGTTTGTATGAGAATCTAATGTCGAATGATTTCCAAAAACGGCTGTTCTGAAAAAACTATGACTTGTAAACTAAAGCTACAAAACAAAGGATTGTACTTAAAACTTTTTTTGGACGTACTTGTGCTTAAATTTCTCCAGAGGCTTGCTTTAGATTTTCCATATATTTGTCTCTAATTTTTCCCGGGACTTTCTTACAGACAAACGTAAAGAAAATTTTAAAAAGTGGTTCTAAGTCTTCTAGCGCATCTAACGCCCTCATTTTTTTTCAGTAGATTCCTTAGGGGTGAAGCTTTAGTTTACAATTCATATTTTTTTCAGAACCGCCATTCTACGGAAATTATTCGACATCAGATTCTCATACAAACACTGTAATTTCTCACGCGTTTGCCTACTCGCCAAGATGGCATCGAAAACCGTGACAAGGTCTATTCTTGACCAATAGCCTATTTTACAGTTACAGGTGCAAACGAGACTGGAGTTGACCTTGTTTTGATACAACCCTTCCAGCTTTATTATGTAAATCATGTTGTCGTTATGCTAAAAACTATTATTTTTTCAGCAAAGTTTCCATAAGCGAAGAAAGAGGTTTGTATCAAAACAAGGTCAAACTCAGCCTCACGTTCACTCAAAGGCTAGGATACTACGCCCACAACTGTAAAATGGTCTATATTTGCATAGCTGCTGGAAACGCGACTGAAAACGCTCTACAGAATCGATATGAAAAAAGCCGTCACTGCACATTTTTCCGCTGGAACCTTTTGTTTTTGATCTGAAAACAACAACAAATTCCAGCAGGTAACTTTACTTTAAACCACGGCTAAATGCGAATGTCCAAAAAAAGGAACATGCGCAAAAATCTGGCTCCTGCAGGTTAGAGAATGTAAATTGACACCACGTGATTACGACCACGTGATTTTTGAACTGTCCTCTATTTTCTTCTTGTTTTGTGGGAAAATGAAAAGTGAGCTTCCATTGAACTAATCGCAACAAGGTAATGTAAAGCCTCACGTATTCTTATAACTATTCACCACATAAATTCTCAAGAAAATTTACATGGGCTAAAGTGATCTCCAATACATACAGTTACCTACAAAACAGATCATTTGAACAGTCCTTCTGAACAGTAAATTAAAAGTGTGTGAACACACAAATGAACAACAAAAGTCAAACAAAGGGGTCAGTTTTAAGGCAGCTATAACACAAATTTTTTCACCAGGTGTAAGAATCCCTAAAGAATGTGCTCTAGCTGTGTCAGAGAGAATAATTGATGACGAAGAGAGTGATTTGCAAACCTTCCTGAATAACACAACTATATTTAAACTGATCCAACGCGGTAAACATACATAAAACGATCAGCGAGACGAAAGCATAAATCCTCAGTAAAAAATGACATGCACATTTTCATGACGTGTTCTTGACGTAACAATTTTGACACATGACTGCAGACCGGAAAATCTTAGTACATCGAATCATAATAACAACAACAACTAATCGCACAGAAAAGTATCTAAATGTCCATTCTGCTTTCCAAACTATTGGACACTAGCCTTTGAGCGTGATTAGTTTTTGATCACCAGACATGAGACTAAATTGTGCCTAAGGCCCTGTTTATTTATAAGCACAAAAGTTACCCTTGGTAAAAGTATCACTTGCCTACCTAAACTACCCTGGGTGAGCCAATTTTTTAACACTTCATTACAAAACATGGGAAACCGTTTAGATAAAGTTGGCTCAGCTACAAGCGTGAACCACCTTTTTTGATGGTAGGGTCACCCTCCTAGGCCAGGCCAACTTTTCTCCATATTAACACTTTTGCTCAGTCTATGAGACAATCACAGCATTCGATGGCCCTGTTTTAGACGACAGTCACAGCCTGCATGCATCAGAGCTGCTGGCTCAGGCAAACGGGTCAACTTTATTCTCAAAACACACTAAAGTTTACTCGCCTGGGAGGGCGACCCTTCTTTCATTCCTGAACAACTTTCCTTTATGACACAGCCCAGGGGCGGATGCAGGATTTTTTTTAGGAGGGGGTGCACTCGTCTCTTGCTCTACTTCAACACCAATAAACCACATAGTTTTTTGCAGAATACCGCTAGTTGTATTAGAAAACCGCAGGTCATCTCAGGGGGGGGGGGGGGGCGCACCCCCCNTGCAGCCTGACAATAGGACGCTACTTTCCGATCCAAGAGTGGTTATAGAAGGCAAGAGGTCTCAAGAAACTTGGAATTTTTCTCCAGGCATCTCTCTCTTAGCCTGCATAGCTAGCAGAATGTGGGCAAGAGCTGCAATTTTTTGGCAGTGGAGCCTTGTGGCGTCGCCACTTGCTTTGCATTGTGTGGCTACTCCACCGCCAAGAAAGTATATCCCAGGCACAACAATCACGTCAGCTAACTCTCTCTAAGATTTTTAGGATTATCAATAATACTTTTATGTAATAAACAAATTAAAGCTCACCTCTCTTATAAGTGGGTTTATGTCCCGAGTAACCAAAATGGGGAACTTGCTTCCTGCCACAGGGCAGGCTCTCATGGCCTTAAGGTGCCTGCTGTCACTCGTGATATCTGGTGAGTAGTCATGAATAACATATTTCTTGTCATTGATGAAGGTTGCTTTGCGGTTGAATGTCGATGGTCTCTCAGTGAAGATGTATGCTTGAGGTAAGTCTTGGGACAGTAGCCAGCTAAGAGTGACAACATTGTTGTTTGTCATCGCTGGCCATGAAAAAGTTGCAAATTAAGGCTGAAAAGCAAAAAGGAAAATAGAGCAAAGGTAAACATAAAAATCTGAGCTTCAAAATGCAGGCCTCTGAAAACTGCCAAAAAAAAAACAGAAATAAACTGGAATTCTCATCAACATTTGTAAAGTTTTAAGAGATACTGTGGAAAATCAATGTGTGACCACCTCCAATGCATAAGCAGCCAACTGCTACAACTAACCACCAACTTAACTCCCAAAAACAAAATTGTCCCAGTCAAATCTTAATTAGAACCTTGCATAAATGACCACCTCTTGTAAACAACCACCCCTCATCAGCGACCATGCACAACCACTTTTAATTTTGCGCTGATGGTTTATAATTTTCTATTGTTTTTGTGTCTAGTGTGAAGCACAGACACTATGAGAAAACGCTAAAATCTTCTGGTAAGTGCTTCATATATGGCAAATTATTACATCACACAAATAACGTTTCACTGAGGTTTCTCCTACGTGACACATTACATGAAGCATTCTTTACTGGGTACCAGGAGGGTAATATCATCGATAATCTTTCGTTATTTCTTCGTGACCCGAAATAAACAACCAATGTCAATCGGAACCAATAGAATGTGTATTAGTAGAGACGATAATTGCGCCAACACCATCTGCTTTCCACGACAACTCCCGACAACTGCAGCTTTCTTCGACGTGTGTGATACGAGTTGCCCTATCGGCAAGTTACCTTTTAGTTTCTTACTTTATGATGAATTTCTTAAGACGTATTTTCTCAGTATGCCACAGCTTTCGAAGTATGCGTCAATCCGGCCGAATGAAAGGTTTCGAAAGGCACTTCAAAGTTGAAGATCAAGGTACTTGGCGCCAACAGAATCTCCATGCTGCAATTTTGTGACTGCCTGCGAAGAGGATACAACTTAAGCTTTACAAGCCCCATTTGGAGAAAGAAAAGCCCGTTATGGGAAATATTGAGCCCCTCCTTTTGGCGATAACAAAGCCTGCTGAGGGATTAAATAAGCCCTGTCAGGGAAATGTAAATGGCAGAAAATCTTTCGCCGCTGAAGGATTTAATGTGAAAATACCTTCATTAGCCAAACATATACGAAAGCTGTGGCGATTTCTTTCCGACAAAGTCATACTAGAACTCGTAATCTTGTTAAATATCACCCAAGGGTCGTTTTAACTGATCAGTTTTTCCATGCGATGGTTAGCACTGATGAGGAGGTGTGCCGTGTGAGAGAGAATTTGATAGACATTACAAAGTACAGGAAAAACGTCATAGAGACCGAGAGCCGTCAAGATTACCGATATAAAAGATTATGAGCTCCATGAAAAAGAGAAAAGCTAGACGAAAGCTGAAGCGCATTTTCAGGAAATCTGCTCCTAAATCTTCAAGTTTGTACAACTTTGCAAATCTTAAAAGATGGGCAGCAAACAAGTTGTTACAAAATAGTAAACAAGCAAGTATGCATTGTTTAGTTGAGCACAAAACAGTGAAATCATGTAGCTGTACCAAAAGATATTGTTTATCGAAAATGAAGCTTTTGATGTCCGGTGATATCGAGTTAAATCCAGGCCCTGAGCAAAATGTCTGTGATCAAACTGCATTGTCAGTAGGTTCCACCTTATTGTTAAACTATCGATTAAGTCAGCTGGGATTGAGACCTCTTGATAACTTTTTGTATATCTCATTTACAACTAGTTGCCTTGAAATAAAGATGTGTTCAATTCATTTCATCGTTACCACTGTGATGTTAAAAATAACAAATTCATAATAGTTAGCACTACCTGCAATAATTTCAACCACATCCTGAAGCAGACCAACCTCTACTCCTCCTTACTTTTCTATATCACCTTCAACACATCTGTTAGTTCTAGCCATATTTTTTTTACTAGACTATTGGAGCCTCACATTATACCCCAGCCTCCAATCCTGTACTCTATGGCGGATAAATCCTAATTGCATTCACAAAGTCTAACGCAATCCTATATGACCTGCATATACACATTACTCAATTACCCAGCAGTAGACACATGTACGCATTGCGGACCTATTTTTAACCTCTCCCATCATGCAAATCAAACTGATATTACATAATATTATATAACCACCAATGAAATACCAGGTGAGCTTTCGCACGAAACCTTGATATCTTCACATGGGAAAATAACATGTTATCTTCACATGTGAAAATATCACCTTTGCTATGGCTGCATAATAAATCGCGCCCTTCACACCAAAAAACTACTTAAGTGAAATGGTTTGATATTTCATTGATGTTTATATAATAAATAGAACATTACATGGCCGCTTAGAGATACAAAATTTCTCTTCTCGTGTTGAACAAAATAATATTCTCTGCGCGGCTATGTAATATTCCTCTATTTATTATATAAACACCAATAAAATGGAATATATAGCTGATTCAATAAAGGTTGCTTTGGGCATTGGGAAGCTTTTGTTTGTTGGTCACTCACGTAATCATTGCATTGTTCCATATGCCTGAAAGACTAATATTGCCATAGCAACCTTTTTTGATTTAGCTGTATACCAGGTGAGCTTTCGCGCGAAAACATGATATCTTCACATGTGAAAATTTCGTGTTATTTTCACAATTGTGAAAACATCACCGTTGCTATTACTACATAATAAATTGCACCTTTCACACCAAAAAGCTATTACGGTTAAATGGTTTGGTATTTCATTGGCGTTTATAGAATAAAATAATAGAACATTACATGAGCACGTGGAGATGCAAAAATTCTCTTCTCGTGTTAAAAAATATTTCAAGAGTGAGCACAGCCAAGACAGTAACATCCTCTATTTATTCAATATATTCCCATTCCAGAATAAAATCAATTGAGCACACCCATATTATTTTCCCAAGAATCCTAGATGCTATTTTAAGGTTTTAGAAAATGCGAGATTTTAAACTGAAAATTATAAATATATTAAAATAGATGATGTGGTTCAATCACAGGCAATTCAAAAGAAAAAAAAAATTAAAACCCTTAAGTGTAAGGAGGAATCATCAAGAATTTTTCAGCCTTTCTCAAGCCATAGAAATTTCTAGGGAATAGATGTTCTTTTGAACAGAATGTTACTCAGTCCTTTGGGGTCCCTGTGTAGATGATAGAGTAAGCTGTAAATTGGGATTGGAGATTGTTTTGAAAGGACCTAAAAATACTTATTTTCATATTAAATTTGAAATATGCAATTAATAACAGGTGCCTTTAAAAACAATCTGTTATCTTTAACCACCCACTGAAGCCACATGACCATCATTGATCTCAAGTAACCAATAGCAGCACTATGAACTAGAAGTTCCTATTTAGATTGAGAGGCAATACAAACAATCAATCTACAGTGAAGAATAATTTTGACAATTTTTATAAATGACCAATATTTTCCTTGAATTTTCGATCATCCGGTGGGAAAGAACTGCTCAGACATGCTTTTACGGGCTTTCACTACCGTTTCATTAGAATTGTTACACTTGGGATTTCTCAGGGGGAACAAAATGGGATAAACTTGTGTTGATTTATTAAAAACAACACCCACTGAGGAAAATATAAACTAGAACATACTGCATGTCTAGCTTTGATAATTCCAGTTTTTGTATGATTTAGAAGGGGGTTAAGGGGTCACTTAAGGGAGGAAATTTTGAAACAGGCTTGCTGGTTACAAACATCTTGTTCTAAATATACAAGTGTTTTTTTTTTTACAGCGAAACGTCATTTCTTGTCTCGGCTGACATCAACGTCACGCAACCGACATTGTAATCTCGATGAGCGGAATTAATGCAGTATTCGAGAAAATTCCCCTCTTATCACAATTTACTTGTTACGTGCTTAAAGTAACTACTTATGGCAACTGCTGCAAGTTCACGAAAAATTAAATCATAAATAAACATTGTGTGATGTGTGTTTACTGCCCAACGTAAACAGTGGTTCAGTTTAGTCTTCATGATCACTCACTTAAGAGGATAATGATCTGTAAACGTAAGGTCGAACATTGAGTCCAAACGAAACTGGTTAATAACAAAAAAAAAACACGGGACTGAACTGTATTTCACTAAATTATTAGAAGGATTTGTAGTGTTTCAATATAAAGAATCGATTGTGCATATAAAATACAACGAACCGACGAGCGGAGTAAAACGTGCCCTTATTTGTTAACTCACTTCTTAAAAAGAATTACTTGACCTGTTGCAAATTTATAGCAACTGTATTTGGTTTTCCGATCGTGCTGGATCACGTACGAAAAGTGCAACTAAGACACCTAAAATGCAAGGATATTAACGAACGGCCAGCCCGCAAATTATTAAAGCTTATAGAAGCAGAATTTTGATAAGTCTTTTGTTGAGCACATGGATTCGTCCAAAGGTTGTATGGTGAACTTGTTGAAACCATCGACTGCATCGTGGATCAGAGGACTTTCGGACCTTCCTTGACCCGGTGATCAAAGCTTCGAAATGATAAAGGATCGAGGTTCGATCGAACTTTTGTTCGGTGTTTCGACAGTCTGGATTCGCATATTAGTGACCGATCTTCAGTTTAAATATTAAAGAATATATTGGCTTTACTTACAAATCGAGTGTCCTATGCCTTGTTTACTACAGTCCTTCGTCAAGATTTTAACCGCTCTGTTTCATGTTTGCATGCTATCGGACGAAAACAACCCCTCGCTCGTCGAACGACGTGTGACGAAATCGGTATGTGCTAAACGCGTGCGTGAAGTCAAGTGTTCGTGCGTTACAAAACGACTCCTAGCACCCGGAAGAGTGGATAGGGGGGTGTCTCTCGTTTAAGGGACGGGGGGACGAAAATGCTCGTGGGAAGATTAAAACGAAAAACTCCTGAAGGATACCAATATGGATAAAAAGAGAAGAATTAACAGCAAGCTGGTCGTCCTCCAGGCAAAGTAACCTCGTTCCCAGGTTCTTTCTACTACCCATCCTAACTGTTTTGTATTTTGGGGCCGTAGATCTAGGTCTTATAGATCCGATATACTGTACACACGAAGAACTCGTTCCTCTGATGATCACAATGAGGTAAACCCATACCGTAAACTTGTGCTCTTTAGCCCCCACTCTCCGCCCCAGTTATAGTCCAATCTAGCTGTAAACAACAACCGAAAAACGTCCATTTATAAGCCCCCCGTATATAAGACCCCGGGGGGCTTCCATATAAATTTGACGGGGATGCTCGTTGGAAAATTGAAATTAACCACAAAGCGAGACGACGAGCATCCCCGTCAATTTTTTTAAGGGAGACTCCTCCCCCCCGGTATAAGACCCTGTAAGCTCCAATTATAAACCCCCCTCAGAATTCGATTTATCATAACGTTTTGGATCTTCATTAAAAACCAGCAAATGGAAGTCGTATTTTGATCAGCACTGCTACAGCTCCGGTTTCGACGTGCTTTATCTATGCCGGTTATAGTTCCCCTTGGGGTATTAGCTCCTCCGTTTTACATAAATCCCTCTTGTAACCACTAGTATTATAAGTCCAGGGCTTCAGTAAGTAGTCCAGTGGCAGACGTAAAAACATTCCTCCAAAATTTAAAAATACATTGACAGTCATAAAAAGCACGTTTTTAGTGATTAATTGTTTTTGTAAATTGTAGTTGTTTTTGCATGTTTTGTTTTGCTGAGAAAATATGAAGTCGGCAAATACAATAATTATCATACAATATCATTTCTCAACTAGAAGCATGCAGCGGAAGTAGTTTTGATTCGCTGATATGCAAATGTCAATCAAGCATTATCCCTGGAAAGCGAATTTATATTCGCGGTCTTAGTTTGAACCGGCGAATATGAATTCAGAAAGTCCTTCGCTGGGCCGAAAAATTGTTTATGCGGATAGAAGAAACGAAGAATGTGTTGATAGAGATATTTCTCTCGTCACATACAATATCCTTGCCGACTTTTATCTTCAGCCAGCTAGAACAAAGGGAAATTATAAAAGATGCCCTAAGGAATACGCTGCACGCCATCAAGACAAAGACTGTCTTCGACACAAATTACTTTTCACGGAGGTAAGGGCAATTTTGTTTAAGCTAAAGCGAAGTTGTTCTGCTGTCGTACTGAAAAAAGTATCATTAAGACAGAGTCTTTCTCCCAGCGCAGAGAAACGCTTTTGCTTGCTTTGGCAGTTATAGTGATAAGGTGCAGGATTGCAGAAAAAATTCAGTGCTTCAAAGAAGAAGGCAAATAGCAAAAGCACCGTTTTGTTATTCTTTTGATGATATATATGATTAATAATAGCCTGTAGTGCAGGCGTATTTTGGGCGGGCGAAGGCTTGTTTATGTTCGTATTGTTGTCGCCATCTTTGATTTTATGACAGAGGAAGATTGGGGAGAGCAGAACTACTTTTCTTCATGCCATTTTTTTTCGCCCGTTTGGACTTGCCCTTTCCCCCACTATCTGCCCCTGGGTCTCCGAGGATGCGCTGACCAGCGTTTTGACACAAAAAGTCAAATGCCTGACTGGGCGAGCCTCATTTTGGGTCATATTCCCCACTGTACAGAACAAAACCTGGGGGAGGGGGGTGGTGGGGGAGGGGCAGTTTTGGTATGGACTGGTACATGACTATGAGTTCAACCAAGAGCCTCCTAGTTCAACCACTCACAGTACTGAAAGAGTTGATGTAAAAATTTCTCAATTTAGTTCCAGTGGCTGGACGCTGATATTGTATGTTTACAAGAAGTTGACCCTCCCTACTTCAATGACATACTGAAGGGAGAAATGTCTTTGCTTGGATATCAAGGACTGTTTGCACAAAAGGACAAAAGTACAGGTCGGCTGGAAGGCATAGCACTGTTTTATAAACATGAAAAGTTTGATCTTCAAGAAGCCAGAAAAATGATTATCAATGAAATTGCCGATGAAATCATGCCCCAAGCTGAATGCAGAGAATTTGGAGAAGTTGTGATACTTGCAACTTTAAGAGACAAGATCACAAAGACACTGCTGGTCATAGGTATTGAAAAGTTTCATTTTTTACAAAAATTTTGGACGTATGATAATTTAATTTCTCAAACATATTAGTCCCAAGAATGTCAAATTCAATGAAATCCCCACACAAAATTGACAAACAAGCAGAGAATTATTGACTCAATTGTTTTGTTCATTATCATAGGATGCTGATGAACCAAACGTTAAGCTGCCTGTAAGGCTCATATGTTTGCAGTAACACTTTCTAGATCACCCAGTAAAAAGCCCTAAACAAAACAAAATTTTATTCTCACTTATCTACATACTGCTAGAAATAAGAGAAGGGGCCTATTGGAAACGATTTTCAAACTGGACTTAAGGTTTGACACCTATTTCCAGGGGAGGGGGTTGGGGTTGGTACTTGACCAATACGCCACTTCCACATTTCCTATAATGCACCTCATTTGCCCCCCAAAATTTTGCATAACCTTTGTTTTTCATTTCTCTTTTGTATTATAGCCATCCCAAGAGAAATTGAAAACATTGGGAAGCATTATGGGAAATGTGGAAGGTGAAGTGTTGAGGACGAAAAGTTCCTAAAATATATTACCCTTTTTTAGAGCTACTCTCTCAATTTTATTACCCTGTCTAGGACGCTGTCTTGTTTCAAGCCATATATCAGCACTCTGAAAGAACAAATTCACATTATAGTCATTGCATTTGTATACTTGGAGTACAAACAAAATTCATAAGCAAATCAAATCAATCATGAGGGCAATACCATGTTGACAGACTCAAAGCAAAATTATATACCCTGTTTAGGACAAAGAGGTCAAAAACCATACCCTGTCCAGCAGCACACCCCAGTAGGGAGGGAGTTCACCCTCCAGGTTTGAAACGATTTAAGAAGCATCAACTTCCATATTTTGACACGCCATGGCAGATAAACACTATAGCCAATAGATCGTTTTCACATGACATCACGGCAGCCATATTTGTGTACAAAAAAATGAATTGGCGACCATGTTTGTGTACAATTCCAGTGGGAATTGAACTCTTTCTACATGTTACTGTGAAAGTAAGAAAACCGTGAACACCTGACAAATTTCAGGAATGTCGATTGTGTACTGGCTAATCACAATAAAGTTCAGGACGCACTAGCAAACCTCAAGACCACAAACTAATTACCGTTGCTGTTTGCGGTTTAGTTATCTCGCGTCTTATTGGCTTATTTCTGGCAACACAATAACATTCCATAAATATTTCTGGTGTTCATGGTTTTGTGAGTTTCACAGTAAAACTTTCTTTTGTTCCAAGCAATTTGCAAAGCTGCTGACCACGTGACTGAAAACGATCTATATTACAATGAAATGGTGCACTTCAATTTTAAGAGTATGAACTGATTTTAAATGCTTTTTTAAATGCTTTTTTAGCCACTACAGAAGACCCAGGTTTGTTTGTTTGTTTGTTTGTTTTTTCGGTAGAGCATGCCTCCCAACTCCTTCGCTGTTAAAATTGGGAAACCGTCTCCTGGATCAGGAGTTCCTGTCTTGGCCTCTTTTCTGCGTGCGCTGAGGCTCCCCTTCGCATTGTCCATAGCGTGCTTTCTTTCCCCCTCTACCCAGCCTTTTAGCGGCACAGAAGGTCTGTGAGGTGGAGAGAACCTGGGCTCACATTTCTATGCACCATTCTAAACATGCATGTAAATCACAGGCGCCAGCTGTAAATGACAGCCAGTCTATGGAGCATTTTCACTGACCTGGTCAGCATCTATGCAAATCTATTGGAAAAAACGAAAGCGTTTACATAAGAATAAAGTTCAACTCCCACTGGATTTGTTTGGAACACCAACATGGCTGCCGTTTCATTGTTTCGGAACACCAATATGGCCGCCGTGACATCATGTGAAAACACTCTATGGTTACTGTTCAGTAATTTTGACAGTTTAATCCAAGATGTCCCCAGTGTTTAAAAACCTCCTTTTTTTTTCGTTTTCTTTTTTTGTAAGGTAATACTCATATCTTATGGGGAGATCTGTTGAAGCCTGTCACACAAGCCTGTGAAATTGCACTTGTCACGCAAGCTCTCCGTGACAAGGTAGCATCGTTGAAGCTGCAAGGAGAGTCTGTTGCTTATATCCTATGCGGAGACTTTAACATCGACCCGCCATATCCTGCATATGAACTACTGAACAGAGGCAAGCTAGATGAAGAGCATTTCAGCAAACTTCAGACCGTTGATTATTTAAAATTCCCTAAAGATTTCATCAAACCACAACAGGTACAATTACCACAAGTTTTAACATTTCAAAATAGTGCACTTTTATGTGACCATGTACGTTAAATCGAGGGCTAACTACGACGTAAAAATTCATTCTCTTTCTAAACTTGAATAGGGTTCTTAGAAATTCAACTCCCGGAGGGTTCCCCTGTAGTGTGTTGGAATGATCGCGATAAAGACCGAAAGTTTTAAAGCGACGTTTTCGCTGCCGTCGCGTCATTGGATCGTCCCTTATGTTTCCCGAATCCCGCATCATAAAATGACCAAATCCCGTATCCCGGTTATATTTCTTAACCCTTTAAGTCCCAATAGTGACTAACGTCAATTTTCTCCTAACGATATCCATACAATGTCAAGAGATTTGGTTATGAGAAGTAATAAAATGATCACCTAAGGGAAAATGCCTTGATCTTTTATCAAATTCTCTCAACTCATTCATGAAAGAAATGTATGGAGATCAGTTTGGAGAATTTGTATGTGTATATTGGGGCTCAAAGGGTTAATCCTGTCGCACGCCCTCTCCCCAAGTCTCACGATTCAAAATTGGTCAATCCCGTTTCAGTAAGGGAGTAACCCTCGGGGGGTGGGGGAGGGGGCGCTTAGTACGAGAGTTCTACGCACCGAGTTATGGGCTCCTGACTGGCGTGAGGCCATGATAAAGATCTCATGAAAAAGTTGCAAATTAAGGCTGAAAAGAAAAAAGGAAAATAGAGCAAAGGTAAACATAAAAATCTGAGCTTCAAAATGCAGGCCTCTGAAAACTGCCAAAAAAAAAAAAAATAGAAATAAATTGGAGTTCTCATACACATTTGTAAAGTTTTAAGAGATACTGTGGAAAATCAACGTGTGACCACCTCCCATGCATAAGCAGCCAACTGCTACAACTAACCACCAACTTAACCCCCAAAAACAAAATTGTCCCAGTCAAATCTTAATTAGAACCTTGCATAAATGACCACCTCTTGTAAACAACCACCCCTCATCAGCGACCATGCACAACCACTTTTTGCACTGATGGTTTATAATTTTCTATTGTTTTTAACCTCCCCCATCATGCAAATCAAACTGATATTACATAATATTATATAAACACCAATGAAATACCAGGTGAGCTTTCGCACGAAGACTTGATATCTTCACATGGGAAAATAACATGTTATCTTCACATGTGAAAATATCACCTTTGCTATGGCTACATAATAAATCGTGCCCTTCACACCAAAAAACTATTTAAGTGAAATGGTTTGATATTTCATTGATGTTTATAAAATAAATAGAACATTACGTGGCTGCTTAGAGATACAAAATTTCTCTTCTCATGTTGAACAAAATAATATTCTCTGCGCGGCCATGTAATATTCCTCTATTTATTATATAAACACCAATGAAACGGAATATATAGCTGATTCAATAAAGGTTGCTTTGGGCATTGGGAAGCTATTGTTCGGTGGTCACTCAAGTAAAGCATTGCATTGTTCCATATGCCCGAAAGACTGATTACCAAAGCAACCTTTTTTGATTTAGCTGTATCGTAACCAGGTGAGCTATCGCGCAAAAACATGATATCTTCATGTGTGAAAATTACACGTTATTTTCACATGCGAAAAGATCACCATTGCTATGGCTGCATAATAAATTGCACCTTTTACAGCAAAAAGCTATTAAAGTGAAATGGTTTTGGTATTTCATTGGTGTTTATATAATAAATAGAACATTACATGAGCACGTGGAGATGCAAAAATTCTCTTCTCGTGTTAAAAAATATTTCAAGAGTGAGTGCAGCCATGTAACGATTCAATATATTCCCATTCCCGAGTAAAGTCAATTGAGCACACCCACATTTTTTTCCCAAGAATCCTAGATGCTATCTTTATAAGGTTTTAGAGAATGCGAGATTTTAAACTGAAAATTATAAATATATAAAATAGATCATGTGGTTCAATCACAGGAAATTCAAAAGAAAAAAGAAATTAAAAACCTTAAGTGTAAGGAGGAATCATCAAGAATTTTTCAGCCTTTCTCAAGCCATAGAAATTTCTAGGGAATAGATGTTCTTTTGAACAGAATGTTACTCAGTCCTTTGGGGTCCCTGTGTAGATGATAGAGTAAGCTGTAAATTGGGATTGGAGATTGTTTTGAAAGGACCTAAAAATACTTATTTTCATATTAAATTTGAAATATGCAATAAATAACAGGTGCCTTTAAAAACAATCTGTTATCTTTAACCACCCACTGAAGCCACATGACCATCATTCATCTCAAGTAACCAATAGCAGCACTATGAACTAGAAGTTCCTATTTAGATTGAGAGGCAATACAAACAATCAATCTACAGTGAAGAATAATTTTGACAATTTTTATAAATGACCAATATTTTCCTTGAATTTTCGATCATCCGGTGGGAAAGAACTGCTCAGACGTGCTTTTACGGGCTTTCACTACCGTTTCATTAGAATTGTTACACTTGGGATTTCTCAGGGGGAACAAAATGGGATAAACTTGTGTTGATTTATTAAAAACAACACCCACTGAGGAAAATATAAACTAGAACATACTGCATGTCTAGCTTTGATAATTCCAGTTTTTGTATGATTTAGAAGGGGGTTAAGGGGTCACTTAAGGGAGGAAATTTTGAAACAGGCTTGCTGGTTACAAACATCTTGTTCTAAATATACAAGTGTTTTTTTTTTTACAGCGAAACGTCATTTCTTGTCTCGGCTGACATCAACGTCACGCAACCGACATTGTAATCTCGATGAGCGGAATTAATGCAGTATTCGAGAAAATTCCCCTCTTATCACAATTTACTTGTTACGTGCTTAAAGTAACTACTTATGGCAACTGCTGCAAGTTCACGAAAAATTAAATCATAAATAAACATTGTGTGATGTGTGTTTACTGCCCAACGTAAACAGTGGTTCAGTTTAGTCTTCATGATCACTCACTTAAGAGGATAATGATCTGTAAACGTAAGGTCGAACATTGAGTCCAAACGAAACTGGTTAATAACAAAAAAAAAACACGGGACTGAACTGTATTTCACTAAATTATTAGAAGGATTTGTAGTGTTTCAATATAAAGAATCGATTGTGCATATAAAATACAACGAACCGACGAGCGGAGTAAAACGTGCCCTTATTTGTTAACTCACTTCTTAAAAAGAATTACTTGACCTGTTGCAAATTTATAGCAACTGTATTTGGTTTTCCGATCGTGCTGGATCACGTACGAAAAGTGCAACTAAGACACCTAAAATGCAAGGATATTAACGAACGGCCAGCCCGCAAATTATTAAAGCTTATAGAAGCAGAATTTTGATAAGTCTTTTGTTGAGCACATGGATTCGTCCAAAGGTTGTATGGTGAACTTGTTGAAACCATCGACTGCATCGTGGATCAGAGGACTTTCGGACCTTCCTTGACCCGGTGATCAAAGCTTCGAAATGATAAAGGATCGAGGTTCGATCGAACTTTTGTTCGGTGTTTCGACAGTCTGGATTCGCATATTAGTGACCGATCTTCAGTTTAAATATTAAAGAATATATTGGCTTTACTTACAAATCGAGTGTCCTATGCCTTGTTTACTACAGTCCTTCGTCAAGATTTTAACCGCTCTGTTTCATGTTTGCATGCTATCGGACGAAAACAACCCCTCGCTCGTCGAACGACGTGTGACGAAATCGGTATGTGCTAAACGCGTGCGTGAAGTCAAGTGTTCGTGCGTTACAAAACGACTCCTAGCACCCGGAAGAGTGGATAGGGGGGTGTCTCTCGTTTAAGGGACGGGGGGACGAAAATGCTCGTGGGAAGATTAAAACGAAAAACTCCTGAAGGATACCAATATGGATAAAAAGAGAAGAATTAACAGCAAGCTGGTCGTCCTCCAGGCAAAGTAACCTCGTTCCCAGGTTCTTTCTACTACCCATCCTAACTGTTTTGTATTTTGGGGCCGTAGATCTAGGTCTTATAGATCCGATATACTGTACACACGAAGAACTCGTTCCTCTGATGATCACAATGAGTGAAACCCATACCGTAAACTTGTGCTCTTTAGCCCCCCCTCTCCGCCCCAGTTATAGTCCAATCTAGCTGTAAACAACAACCGAAAAACGTCCACTTATAAGCCCCCCGTACATAAGACCCCGGGGGACTTCCATATAAATTTGACGGGGATGCTCGTTGGAAAATTGAAATTAACCCCAAAGCGAGACGACGAGCATCCCCGTCAATTTTTTTACGGGAGACTCCTCCCCCCCGGTATAAGACCCCGTAAGCTCCAATTATAAACCCCCCTCAGAATTCGATTTATCATAACGTTTTGGAGCTTCATTAAAAACCAGCAAATGCAAGTCGTATTTTGATCAGCACTGCTACAGCTCCGGTTTCGACGTGCTTTATCTATGCCGGTTATAGTTCCCCTTGGGGTATTAGCTCCTCCGTTTTACATAAATCCCTCTTGTAACCACGAGTAATATAAGTCCAGGGCTTCAGTAAGCAATCCAGTGGCAGACGTAAAAACATTCCTCCAAAATTTAAAAATACATTGACAGTCATAAAGAGCACGTTTTTAGCGATTAATTGTTTTTGTAAATTGTAGTTGTCTTTGCATGTTTTGTTTTGCTGAGAAAATATGAAGTCGGCAAATACAATATCATTTCTCAACTAGAAGCATGCAGCGGAAGTAGTTTTGATTCGCTGATATGCAAATGTCAATCAAGCATTATCCCTGGAAAGCGAATTTATATTCGCGGTCTTAGTTTGAACCGTCGAATATGAATTCAGAAAGTCCTTCGCTGGGCCGAAAAATTGTTTATGCGGATAGAAGAAACGAAGAATGTGTTGATAGAGATATTTCTCTCGTCACATACAATATCCTTGCCGACTTTTATCTTCAGCCAGCTAGAACAAAGGGAAATTATAAAAGATGCCCTAAGGAATACGCTGCACGCCATCAAGACAAAGACTGTCTTCGACACAAATTACTTTTCACGGAGGTAAGGGCAATTTTGTTTAAGCTAAAGCGAAGTTGTTCTGCTGTCGTACTGAAAAAAGTATCATTAAGAC